TGGGAGAAGAATTCAACGAGGAGCAACGGATGATTCATTGTCAATTGGTGTTGACCCGAAGTTTCTGGATACAACCTTTGTGGAATTCAGTGTGAACAAGGGATCCAACACCGTGCCTGATGTTGCAGCAGTGCTTGAAAGAGCCTTGACGGACAAAAGCATGCAACAGCCGCTGACGGCTGCAGCGTACTCAAGGTTTCGGAGAGCACTTGGGAAACTGCTATGGATGGCACAGTCACGGCATGATCTGAAATTGTTTCTTAGTTTGATAGGCTCGCAGCAAGCTGCTCCTACGCATGGTACTGAAATGGCAATCAAAGCTTTGCTACGTTTTTTGCATGGAGATGTGGGAACTTGTCTGCGGCTTCCATCGCCAAAGTATGAGGAACTTATGATTGGAGCTGCACGACATTGCATTCTGCATTCTTTTTCAGATGCTTCCTTTGCACCATATAGATTCAATGGCAGAAAGGGGATTACAGGTGGTGTGGTTTTCTGCGAAGGTGGACTTGTGCGATCCATTGCACGCCAACAACAGTCAGTTTCACTTTCGTCTTGCGAAGCCGAGCTCTATGCACTGCAAGCTGTATCTCAAGAAAGTGTGGCTTTCAGCCAATTCTGTCAGAGGGTCTATGTTGGTTTGGGAGAGATGCAACCGAAGAGTGTGCCAAAGATTTTGCTCGAATCTGATAGCTCTTCTGCATTGCAATTGCTTGTTGGTCAGGATATTCCGAAGAGAAGCAGGCATGTGGAGATTCGTTTGGCATGGATGAAATCCAAAATGGCTTCTGGAGAACTCGAGATCGAGCACCGAGCAGGGACTGAGAATGTGGCTGACCTGTTTACAAAGTGCTTGAGCACGAAAGACTTCCTACGTCATCGTGCAAGCTTGGGTTTTGAGGCTGTGGAAGTACCTGCCAGGGATCTTCGGTCAGTCAACGACCTTCTGCTAATCAATGATGTTGTGTCCAACAAACAGGAGATTGCATTTGTGGAGGTGTGCTGTGGCACGAATTCAGCTCTTCGTGATGCATGTCGAGTTGCTCGAATGCCCTATGTTGGAGTTGTGAAAGAGGTTGAGACCGACGCAATGTTTGCACGAGTGAAGCAGTTTGTAGAGGTCCAAGCTCAACTTGGGTATCGCTGGATTCATGTGCATGCCTCTACGCCATGTAGCTCAGGCTCACCGTTGAAGAATTTTGGAACTGGAAGTTTGAGTGAAGCCGATGTTGCGTGGGAAGGTATCATGAAAGCTGTGCCTAAGTATTTGACTCTGGGGAATTCGAGATCATTTGAACTCCCAAGGAACAATAATATTTGGAAGAGAGATGAAACCAAGCATGTTTTGAAGCACTGTGGTTTAGAATTTGAATCGGAAGTGTTTCTTTGCCAAACCGGATGCAAAGCTGACAACGGTTTGCCTGTTGGAAAATGCCTCATTTTTGGAAGCTCGTTTTCAGGTTTTTGCAATGTTTTGACCAAACGTTTTGGATCGTGCACATGTGAAAAGCATGCTGGCGTAATGGATGTCAATTGGGTCCGAACAGGATCCTATACCAAGGAACTTGCTAAGGGAATCTTGGCAGCCGTGAGAGCTGCGCGCCGAGCAGCATGACTTTTCAGACAAAGAGCCAAGGCATGAACTTCCATAGGAATTCATGCAAAACAAACGAAACAGAAGTTTTTTTTTGGCATGTCCTGTCTCCGGACAGCGCACAGTTTAAGAGGGGGACAGGTATGCTGGAGATGTTTTCTAGATTTGTAACTGTAGGTTTGGGAATGTTTGCACGTTTTTGCATGTTATTTTCAAACCTGCATGGAACAACTTTATTTGCGTTTTTGGCATGTGCTTTATTTCAACCAAATTTAAACAAACAGACAAACGGCAGTTGATGTGAAGCACGGCAGTCTTGTGGAACACTGCAGTTGATGTCAAACGCAAACAAGACAAACGGCAGTTGATGTGAAGCACAGTCTTTTGGGAGTGCATGTCGTTTGAGAGAGTTTTTTTTGATGTTCACTTGATGTGAAACAAACGAAACAGACGGCAGTTGATGTAAAACACAGCAGTCTTGTGAAGCACAGAACAGTTGATGTTAATTTTGGTTTTGCGTTCAAGCACGGAGAGGGAATTCACTGCAGAGATGTCACAACACATGTTCTGACGCGCGACATCAAAGATGTCAGAAAGGAAAACTTCAGGTGACACGACAGTTGAAACCTCTCAGGTTCAGTGCTTGGCCGAACTCTTTTCTTTTTCGGGTGTGTGTGAGGGTTGAAACAGTTTCAGTAATTAATCGCCTAATTGCGCCTTAGAGCCATGGCCAATCGACCTCCACCACCGCCGAATTCAGCTGGCATGGAATGCTACCCTGGGACCGATATGACTGGAGTGGAAATGGAGCTTTTGAGGGAATTGATGCGCAAGGCAGAGCGCAACCAGATGATGACACAGACTCTGTCTTTGCACCAATTAGAACATAAGCATGCTCCTGACCCGCGTCAGGCTGAATGGAATGCACAGAAGGCCGCAGGACAATGGCCAGGATGGAAGGGAAATGGACCGCCTCCAAAGAGTGTGAACCCGCCTGCATCGTCTGGGCGACCACCCAAGATGAACTATGACCCTGACGATGACCCGTGGGCCGCAATTCCAACTGCACCGAAGGCTGACCCGCCTGTTTTGCAGATCTTTGGGAATGTCCAGCAAGGCACACCGCCAATTAATCTTCCACCTGCTGCCACTGCAATGCCTAAGTCTGGATTTCCAGAACATTCAGCTGCCGCTATGGGGACAGAAGCAGTGTTTCCGCCAGCAAAGGCTTCTGCTCCTGCACCAGAGAATTCAGCAGCGAAACAGCTGCCTATTCCGAAGGCAAGCGGGCCCAACAAAGCAGCCAGGAATTCGACTCCCAAGATTGAAGAGGTACCGGAAGAAGTTGATGGGGACGGCACTGGTGGACGCATGGATGAAAGCTTTAAGAGGAATCGAGATGTTTTTGAGGATGACGACGAACTCTTTGGCTTTGAGTATATTCCTGCAGACGTCTCACCGCCGTGGTTCCCGAATCACCTGTGGGGAATTCCAACCACAATTCAGCACAATGCAACGGATTGGAATGACAAGAGTTGGTACCCCAGCTATCAGTCCAGTGACATGGACCCCGCAGTGCCATTTCCAGTGCATGTGCAAGGCATCAAGTCGTGGGCCAGCACGAAGATCAAGCTGAAGAAATGGAGGGACAAAGAAATGTCCTACCATGAATTCATTCTGAAGGTCTTCAACCACGATGATGAGGCCGGGCAATATGCAAAGTGGATTTTGGCACACTATACACCCAAGATCACAGCTACGCCCAAGTCGCAAGCTCCAGATCTTGCCGCTTTCCTCAAGAAGATGAGAGTGGATGTGTTTTTGTATGCAACGACGGCGTACCGCAGGGAGTTGATGAGTGTGGACTTCGACAAGAAGCCCTAGCCTGGTGTTTCCATGTGCATGCTGATAATTTTTGCATGATGATGATGCAGCGATGACTGCATAAATCAATGTATCTTTGTCAGATCTATGTCAGTCTGAAATTCTGGACTTCTGGTTTTGCTGGAGTGATTTTTGGATATACAGTGCAATTCGAGATGATACAATTCAATGCAATCACTGCACGTGGCACTGTCTATAACGAGGTTTTAGAGTTCACTGCAACTGGAACGGGATCGGGCTGGCAATCTGATTGAATTCAACAGTACTTCATATGTATTTTGATGCAACGGTCTGGATACTATACCCTTTGAGGTGGACTTTCTGGGCAAGCTGATACATACTGCATGGTCAATGTATTCTTGCAACGTCACAGCAAGAGGGGGTATGAAAGTATATGGATATACCCGGTGTGCTGTGACTATGTTTGGACTGGAATGCATGCTGCATTTTACTCTGGAATTTGTATCCAAATAGCTGGCTGATGTGATGAGATTTGTTTTTGCCAAGTCTCGCCTACGGACGAGGTACAAGTCATTGTTTTTGGTATTTTCTGGAAAGCTGCATGATGCCATCATGTCTGGACAAGTTTCGTTGACGGTTGAGAACGTTTTCATGGAGAACAACATTTTTCGAGAATGTGTTTTTGGACGTTGACGGTGAGAATGATGTTTTTTGGAAACCGTTTGGAATTTGTTTTGCCTCGCATGATGTATTTGCTCGACAACAACAACTTCCAAACTGCACTTTATTTCAACAGGTTTTGCATGTCAACGTTTTGAACATGGTTGAGATGGTTTTTGTGGAGAACGTTTATTTCTGGACTGGCGTCGTTTTGCAGAATACTGGAAAGATGCATTTGCAACATATGCAAATGCATGTGGAAGTGGAGGAGTTTATTTTCGTTTTGCTTCAGCTGGAATTTTGGAATATGATACTCTGGAAGTGAAGTGCATGCTGCATGCGCTCAATGGTTCAAGCATGTTGCACGACAGAATAAAAGAGAAACAAAGACAACACTGCACAGTGGCCGACAGAGCCAGGACAAGTTACCTTTGCTTGTTTTGTGTGTTGCGAGAAAAAGGTGAGAGCGAGGTCAAGTGAGAATTTGTGGGTTTTTGACTTGCGTGTGTTTGCAAGTTTATTCATCGGCATCGCCGCTTAGGCTCGAACCCAACGCGTAGGATTGGCGTTCGCGAGCGTCGCGGCTAGTGGTTGTTAGCCTGAATTTTCGCACAAACAGGCCCTGATCGAGCTCTTGGAATCCCGTGGTGCTTCTGAAGAGGTTCTCAAGCTAGCCAGAGAATTTCACTGCAGTGCCTGTGAACGGACCGGAAGCCCAACACTGCGGCTCCTGCTGCCCTTCCTCAAGCCTCACGCTTCAACGAGAAGCTGCAAGGACAAGATCCCTGTCGTCCACTTCATTGACTTGGCGACCAAGTACCAAGCTGCAGCTGTTGTGAAGGCCGAGAAAGCTTCCAACTACCAGAAAGCACTGGAACGTGGATGGTTCCGCCATTTTGGCATGCCGAAGGAACTCATCACAGATGAAGGACGTGGCTGGCTCCATGAGGACATGATCGACTTCCTGGCTGAGCTCAACATTCTCCACACGGTAGCACCGGGAGAAGCCCACACACGTTTAGGTGCAGTAGAACGACGTCACCAAGTTCTACGCAAAGCTGTGGAGATCTACATGAACGATCGTGGTCTCAAAGATGTTGATGGACTTCGACAAGCTTTGGCCTATGTGCTGCCCCAGGTGAACTCTTCTCCAACGGTGGCGGGGTGCTCCCCCACTCAATGGGTCCTAGGCTATCAGCCTGACTTTGCTGGCGACTTGACCAGCGAAGGCCTGAATCCATCTCACTTGGATGGCTCCAACTTCGAGCAGACCCTGGAGAAGCGTTCAGCAGCCAAGGTAGCTTTGATCAAAGCAGACCAAGATCAACGACTTCGACGAGCACTTCTCAGGCGCTACTCTGGCACAAACGTGCTATTGCAGCCGGGCCAGATTTGTTGGTACTGGCGTGATGCACGTGCAGCTGACTTGGTGAAGGTCAGATGGAAAGGCCCTGCTCGGGTTATCCTTCGTGAAGATGATGCCGAAGGAAAGCCGATCGTCTACTGGATCGCCCATCAGACCCAGCTGCTTCGATGTGCTCCTCAACATGTCCGTGCCGACCACCGAGTGGCCTCTGACACCAACATTGGTGGCCTTGAAGAAGCTCGCCGAGTTGTCTCTGAGCTGAAATCCAGAGGGGTCACCCGCTTTGTGGATCTGCAGCGTGCCAACAAAAGGCACATTGAAGAGGTTCAGTCCGACGAAGAGGAGCTCTTTGATGATGATGATGATGATGGTGCTCCTGGACCTCCTCGACAACGGCCGAGATTGGACTTATCTCCAACCCTGGACTTTGTGGAGCGGCCTGAACTTGATGTGTCTCCAACTCCAACAACGCCTTTGGATGACACAGATCCAGCCTTGGACTTGGAGGGCCTGGACTTACCTCCGGCTGGAACGATGCCTGATGCTGCAGACCCTGGTGGACCACCGATCTTGGTGGAAGATGACTCTGGTGAAGTGATGCCTCCTCCTGCACACGTGCCTCTACGGCCACATCTTCCAACTGCTGATGAAACTGAACCCAGTGAGGAGCCATCACGACCACCTTCAGTACGATCTCCGGCACAAGTGCCTCCTTTGGACCCTGCCACTGTGGCGATGTATGAGCCAGCTGGCCCAAATGACCGATTTCGACTTCTACGACAACAGCATGAACGACATGAAACCTTGGTGTTGCCCTCCAGATCAAGAGCTCATCGCTCTCGCTCTCGACATCGAGCTGATCCAGGTGAAGCTGGGCCGACTTCCTCTACTCCGAACCCGAGGCCTGCTTCTGCTGGTGAACCTCATGAGAGCTACTCTCAAGTGTTCAATGTGGAGGACATCCAAGGTGATGATCTGCCTTCTGGATGGCATGTGGACTCTGATGGTGCCTTCGTTTTGAAAGATGTGTTGCATGACTTTTGGGAAGTGCGTGCTGGGTGTTTGATCAGACACCACATTGCACCCCGACGCAACACCATGAACATCAACGACTACAAGGACGTGCCCATCGAGCCCAAGTACCTTGATCCAATTCGGATCACTATGATGCGCTTTCCTGACGGAAGCCTGAAGATCCACAACGACGATGGCAGCCAGACTTCCTCTACTTCTACTTCCTGGACTGGCGCCACTGTGTACCAGACCACTGGTCAAGCCAGGCGTGAACTTGGCATGTATGCCAACCTGAATGCCAAGAAGATTGGCCGCGACCTCAAGACCAAGGCCAAGAAAACCAACAGCAAGACTGTAGATGAAAGACGCCTGGATGTGGATCAACGAGCTCTGTTTCAAGCTGCCAAAGCGAAGGAACTTCAGTCCTTCTTCCAGAACGATGTCTGGATCTTTGACACCGATGCCAATGCCGACCCCAGTCGAACCTTGTCGGCTCGGATGCTCTTGACTTGGAGCAAGAATGCAGATGGCTCCCCTAGAGCCAAGGCACGGTTGATCGTGAGGGGCTATGCTGATGTGGATGCCCTGAATGGCCAGCTTGAAACAAGCAGTCCAACCACTACAAGACTTTCCAGGAACATGTTGATTTCTTTGTCTTCAACTTTGGGTTGGAAGCTTTGGACTTCGGACATTTCAACTGCCTTTCTTCAAGGTCTACCTCAAGAGCGGAAGATTTGGATTCGACTTCCTGCTGATGCTTTGGCCTTACTTGGCTGTGGACCTGAGACGAGGATGCTTCTTCGAAAGCCTTGCTACGGGCAGTTGGATGCTCCCAGACGATGGTGGCTGGAAGCATGTCGAAGACTCAAAGCACTTGGACTTCGCCAGCACTTGCTGGACCCGTGCTGCTTCCTTGTGTATGCCCAGGACTTTGAAGAGCTCTATGGCCCTGACACTGAGGCAAAACAGCCCTACCTGGACAGTGGTTTGGTTGGAATGATATGCCTACATGTTGATGACATGCTTGGATGCGGTGATGAAACTTCCAAAATCTACTGCAAGGTGATTGAAGAGCTGCGCAACACGTTCTCCTTCAGAGAATGGAAAGATGGTGATGCTTTGGAATACTGCGGTGCCACCATGACCAAAAGCCCTGATGGCACGATCAAGCTCCACCACAAGGAGTACCTGCACAAGGTCAAGCCTATGACTTTGCCTCGGTTGGGTCCTGAACATGAGATGTCCCAATCGGAGGTGACACAGCTTCGAGGGCTCTTGGGTTCTTTGCAGTGGCCTGCCGTTCAAAGCAGCCCGCACTTGCAGGCGAGCACTTCAGTGTACTCCGGCAGTGTCTCAAAAGGCCTTCTCAAGACGGCCATGGACACCAACCGCCTTCTCAAGTTTGCCAAGGAAAACAGTGACATGGGTTTGACTTTTCCACCACTGGGACTGGGCCCTGTGGAAAACCTTCGGATGATCACTGCGTTTGATGCGTCATTCTGCAGCAGACCCGACGGCACTTCACAGGGTGGCTACTTTGTTTTGTTGGCCCCGAAGCATGTGCTGGAGACCCGAGAAGATGTGTACCACATCTTGGACTGGAAGTCCTTCAAGCTGCCGAGAGTTGCACGTAGCTCTCTATCTGCCGAAGCACAGTCGGCAGGATGTGCAGCCGACGCCACTGAGTTTGCCTGCAGGTACTATGAACATCTTCTTCAACCTGATGTTCCCTTGGCGACCCTGCTCAACCTCAAGTCGAGTTTGGCACCCACCTTGGTGACAGATGCCAAGGCACTTTTTGACTCTTACCACAGAGAGAGTCTGGTGTCAAATGTGACCGACAGACGGTCGTCTTTGGAGATCCGCGTCGTCAAGGAGCAGATCTCTGGACTTGGAGGTGGACTCAGATGGGTTTCATCTGACCGTCAGTTGGCTGATGGAATGACGAAGGATAGCATGCGACAGCAGCTCGCAGACAAGCTGCGTCATGGTCGCATCAAATTCTTGTACGACCCCAACTATGTGGCTGCGAAGAAGAAAACCCTGGAGGAAAAGAAACATGAGTTGGAAGCCACAACGAAAAGCCGAAACACCAAGAGGAAGAAACCGCAGTCTGAGCTGCGAATCATCAAGGAGGAGCTGGAAGCTTCGGAAGATGTCGAGATGATTGAGAATGACCTGGCGCCAACGAATGCCCTGGTCTCTGACTTTGAACAGGTTCCAACGAATGACCTGACCCCAAAGAATGCCCAATTTCCAAAGAATGACATGGTTACACAGTATGCCAAGGTCCCTGCCGAGACCTACATTGCACAGTCCACTGAGCCCCTGGTCTATGTGGACATGGTGGAAGACCTTCGAGATCATCTTCAAGCTGGTGATGGTGATATGGTGGTTGATGAAGCTACCTGGTGCTTCTGCCGCCCTAATGGCGATGTGCCTTACCGAGCACGAGGAGGTGAAGACGGAAAGCTCAAAGAGCTGGGAGTCCATCTTCTTGGTGCTGGCCATTTTGGCCCTATGCTGCGCTGGCATCTATGTCTGGAAACTACGAGCTGACCAGCTGCGACTCCGATGTCGGATCGACAACCTGGAGGGCGAGCTGCATCATGGAAACCACCGGTCCAATGTTTTGGTGGTGATGTATGATGAGCTGCGTGGGTCCTATGACCGCCGGACCACTGCCTATGACCGAGCCCGCAGAGCTTTCGTGGAACAGCGTGCTGCAGCCCAAGAACTTCAAGGAGCTCTGGCGCTGGCTACGCAAGACTTGGGTGCTGGATACCAAGCTCAGTTGGACGTGCGACAGCACGTTGGTCGATGCCCGCTTGGTGACGAGATCCACATCCAGGATGGAAGCTCCGTATGGCATCGCAATGACGAGTGCGATGAGCTGTACGATAGTGGCCGTGAAATTAGGATTTTCCAGCCGTGCGCAATTTGCGCTCAGCAGGAATTAGTGGTTCCTGGTGACGATGCCACCAGATTTTTCGATGAGCATGGTATGCGTGTGGTAAACGCTCCACCTGGGATGCGTTTCAACTAGCTGGAGGTTGTACAAACAACTTTCCCTCCGTGTGAAGTTGCATGCCATGCACCTAGCCTAAGCATCTCCTTTTCACCCTTTCATTTGCCGACCACCGCCGCTATTGGCCCAGGGTGGGATCTTAGATGCCTACATGGCTATGCGAGCCTGAAAAGGCGCACCGTGCTGTTTGCGGCCTGGCACCTCGTGCGGCTGGGCTGGGAGCTAGGTGGGAACTTCCCTGGCTTTTGCAAAGTAATTGTACCATCCCCCAAAGGACTTACTCCTGCCATGTGGAAGCAGACAGCCACTCTGTGTCCACTTGAGTGGCCGTCCAACTATAGCCTCCTGAGGTTGTGGCACACGACCAAAAGTTTCCACCAGTATGCTGCACAACTCAAGCAGCAAATACAACATCGCCATATGTTCACCCATTGGGAAGTCAACCGCGCGAAGTTAGCAAGCAGAGTGCTCTTCCAACGACCCGCCCACTACTTACCAGAAACGATTCTGAGGCAACACGTGCAAGAGCGGGTCTTCCCTGATAGGAAACTACGCAGGAGAGCGCCAGATACCGACCTGGTTGCTTTTCAGACTAAATGCAATGAGTTACGGCTCCTTGCCACAGGGGCAGAAAGGGCGAACCCTGTCTCCTTTGCGATTGGGAACAGCTGGAATGACACTCTCCGAGCAGACAAACAACACCACCTCGAATACACCACACGTAGTCAGACGTAGCGATTCTCTTTTCCCTCCCCCCCCGTTTTTTAGGGTCGTTCTTTCATTTTTGCTTTCTGCGTTTTGGTGCCTTTTTCTCTTTTGCCCCCCCTGGCTGCGTTGGGTGGGGGCCCTTTTGCTCCGGTAGGGATCTATCTCATGGCTCCTCCGCGTCCTGCATGTCCTTTTCTTGCGCGGTCCAACTTTTTTCATGTTTCTTCTGCCGTCCTCTGTCCCTTGTGTGGTTTTGCGTTCCCTGTGGGGCTTCGCCCTTTTGGGCTCTTGGTTTTCCTGTCTGTTGCTTCTGTCTGCGCGTCTCTTGGTTTTCGCTGTTTCTGTTGTGCTCCTCTTTGGGTTTGGGAGGGCCCCGCTTTTTCTGGCTTGGTGATTGGCACGTGTTGGCTCCCCTCCCTGTCAGTTGTTACCTCCCCTCCCGCCGCGGTTGGTCCCGTGTGGCGCCCTGGCCCAGTTTTCACGCTGGTACCTCCCTCTGGGTATCTGGTTGCAGCTGTGACGGCTCAGTTGCCCTGCCGTAGTGCTGGGAGTGTGGGTGTGCTTTGTCGTCCTTCCTTCATTTTGTCTCATGGCAGCAAAGGCTCTTAAGCCCTGTGTGGGGTTGTTATCACCCTCTCCACCATGTTGCAGGTGCTGTCAGGATGCTCAGTTTGACCACACTGAGGTATTCATCAGGATGATGATCCAGGTCCCCCCATTGGTCTCCGCTAAGCTGCCCTATTGCTATTCTAATGATTCTAATGTGGTAGGTGCGGCCTTCTCCGCCCCTGTCCTCCTCTGCCTTCCCGGCACCCCCCTTCGGGTAGTGTGGTGTTTGGCCGATCTGTTTGGTTTTTGCTCTTGTTGGGTTGTTTTTTGTTGTTTCGCGTTGTGTAGGGTTTGGTGTGACCTACTCTGCTTGTGTTACCCTCCCCTGCCCTTACTTAGGCGCGAAGCGTCTGGAGCTTAGATTGGATAGTGCGAGTTTTGTTAATCTGTTTGATTTACAGTGTTGCTGACTAAGGTTTTTGATTTGAGAGGCACTGACATAGCATTCTGGTGATCCACTAAGGCTACTCAGGACGGCCAATTAGTTTTGATGCCCCTAGGGCCCGTGTTTTTGCTTTGCCCTTTTTGCTGCCTTTATCTTTCCTCTCTGTCGGGGCTTTGCGCTTAATTGGTTCTGAATTCGTTTGTCTTTTCTGAGTCTCCTTGGGATGTCCTTTGTCTGGGTACTCTACATGGGTGGCTGCATCTATCCGAGAGGGGCGGTAGGTAGCCGGCCGATGCCATGGCTCAGACTGTGCTGCAGGGAGTCTCACTGGTGCATTCCAGTCATGCTCCCTGTAGGACAGCCTGGGGCGCCCGCGAGCAGCATAAGACTGCCTACATGGTTCGTCAGTTCGTGGACGGAATGTGGTGATTCTGCAGCCTGCCTATTCTGTGGTTGAGTGGCATTACGGATTTGGACTCGCTACAATCGTCTACTGTGCATACTGCAATGCACTGCAGGTTTTTCAGGGACGATGACATCCTGAAATGTCCTGAACAGTTCTGTGGTTTGCATGTTCAGCGAACCTACATCAATGAGAGCAACGTTGCCGAAGATAGCACTGGTCTGGCGGAACTAGCGGATACAGCCATGTTACCTTTCGGCCCCTTTTTGCTGTCCGAGTGTGGTGTCATTGCCATGTGGCTTCACCCTATCTGCACAACGACTACGTTATTGCATGTCTCTCATCTTTGCGAGTATTGCCTAGGAGCTTCGCTGGCTGAGATCAATCAATTTGCAGGTTGCATTTTTCCCCTATGAAACTAGGGGTATGCTGGATATTTGCGATGGTATTTTGGAAGTTTTTCCCTGGCCTGTGATGCTTCCCGTGCGCCATCACCGTCCGCCCCCCCTGCTGGGGGGGACCTGGCTCTTTGACCACCACGGCTTCTTGCTCACGGTTGATATATATGGTGACGACTCTGTCCATGGAGGCCCTCTGGGGCAAGCTGATCTGAGAGGACGCTGAGAGAGGCATAAGTTGTAGCCCCGTGTTATTGTACAGTTCGGCACATCTATGCCTGGGTAGACATACAAGCTGGCTAAGCCTTCATGTTTGCTCGAATGCCGTGGTTTTAATTCATTGGCATGTTTTTGAGAGTGATGCAGTGGACAAGCCACTGTGTCCCTTGGCAAATCGAATTTGTGGGTGTTCTTTTTGGGCTCTGGCCCCGTTTTTGTTGTTTTTGGTTTTCTGTTGTTTGCTTCGCTGTTTCCTCTGGCGAAACGCAAGTCTGGCTGGGGTATTTGCGGGTCGTCGTGTTTGGTTGTTTTCTGTGGTTTTTGTGTGTTGTATTGTTCGATTTGCCTGCTCAAAATGGACATTTCATGTCCTTGTACAAACGTCTTTCCGACAGCTTATGCTCATGTAAGGACCGAGCCTTTAGCGCGACATCGGCCAAACTCGAGGAAAAAAAAATCTAGAATCTAAGAACCGCCAAGTTCCCTCTGAACTTGAAACCTGTGATGAAATGCTTTTTTTTCTTGCTTTTTTTTTCAATAGGTGTCCAGTCGGTCCGCCCCACCTGGTTTGAAGACATCGCGGCGCCCCTCGTACCCAAAGAGACCACGCCTCAACCAAACCAAGGTCCTCAATGGCAGCAGCCCCAACCGCTACACGGTCTTAAGTTAGTCATCAAGGAAGAGGTACTACCGATGAAAGACCAACCGGAATTTCCTGCACTTGCATTACTGGCCGCGCGTGGTCTGCTCGCACCGGATACATGGAAGTGCAAACGTGCGCAGGCTAGCCTTAAGGCAACAATTGATGTCCCTATGCTAGGCACAATCATTGAGCAAAATGGTGATGGACTCCTTGAAGACTCCCACATGCCAGTAGGATGGCCACTGCACATCGATGGTGCTGTCAGACAATGTTGTATTCACCGATCTGCGACCCACCAAGAATTGGATGATATGCTTAAAGAATATGACATGAAAAGAGATTCAGTTGAAATAAACCATGACGCACCCCAATGGTCTCACAACGCAGTATGGAACAGAAGGTATATGGAACCGAAGACAGGATACACGCTGCGGCAACTTTGGGCTGATTCCGAGCCGGCCATTGGACAGAAATCTTCCCCTTCGTATGATATCAAAGAAGGTGACATTTTACGTGCAGTAGCTGCTATCACAAACCTGCCGTCTTCCACGCTGCCTGACAGTCCCTTCATCCGTGCATTCGGGACACCGGCAGCTCAAAATGCCCCACCACAGACTGGCACCCTAGCGCAAAGAGCCTTAGAAGAATGGGAACGCACCCTGTGTGAAAACAAAGCGGTGGCGATCCTTGCACAAATGCAAGCCGGCCGACCAGCCCTGATCCAGAAAGACGGCGGCGAAATGCTCATTGCCATTGTCCTTGATAGGTCACTGGCTGAAGCGAAGGCACTAGTGGACGACCCCCCATTGGACTGCGAAGCTTCCCGTGCACCATCACCGTCCGCCCCCCCCTGCTGGGGGGGACCTGGCTTTGACCACCACGGCTTCTCGCTCACGGTTGATATATATGGTGACGACCCTGTCCATGGAGGCCTTCTGGACAAGCTGATCTGAGAGGACGCTGAGAGAGGCATAAGTTGTAGCCCATTCATGTACAGTTTGGCACATCTATGCCTGGGTCAACATGCAAGTTGGCTAGGCCTTTATGTTTGCTTGAATGCCGTGGTTCTTAATTCATGTTTTCGCATGTTTTTGAGAGCGATGCAGTGGACAAGCCACTGTGTCCCTTGGCAAATCGATTTTGTGGGTGTTCTGTTTGGGCTCCCGCCCCGTTTTTGTTGTTTTTGGTTTGCTGTTGTTTGCTTCGCTGTTTCCTCTGGCGAAACGCAAGTCTGGCTGGGGGATTTGCGGGTCGTCGTGGTTGGTGTTTTGCTTGTGTTTCTGTTTGGTGGTTATTTCGATTTGCCTGCTCAATATGGACCAATGATGTCCTTGTACAAACGTCTTTAAGACAGCTTATGCTCATGTAAGGACCGAGCCTTTAGCGCGACATCGGCCGAACCCGAGGAAAAAAAAAGGCACTAGTGGACGACCCTGCAGCTTTCACTCGCGAAATGACTAGGATTCTGCTTGCCAAGCAAAGCCATCCACTTATCGCCCAAATGATGAGGCCAGCGGGAAGTGGTGACCCACCCCACGCAAATAGCACAGCCAGTGGCACCGGCAGCCACGAACACCCCAGCGCCAGTCAGCCCGTGCAATTCCAGTAGTCTCATGCGGCCAACGTGGGGTACCCACGGTTGCCACACATGAC